CAAGACCAATAAACACAGACCAAGACTCCCAACCAATCAGGATGAAGGAAAAACCATTCTGGCACAGTAGTAGGCTAGCCCCAAATTTAAAACTGAAACAACTATAAAAGTCTGACTCACAGATGAACACAATACAGAAGCCTGATGATGGCAGATGAGATTCTGCTGAAACGTTGCTACAACTTTAAAAGCACAACTACTATGACGTGGGAAAATACCCGAACAAAGCTGAATGCCATACATGTAAGTACCCGCGAAAACTTAAGAAAACCACTTATTTATATATATATATATATACCAGGCTTTTTTGCAGTTAAGCATTTCAAGGTTTTTGGAAAAATGAACTGATATTTGGCTATGATATAGTTATCATACATGGACTTCTCCATTAATTATAGAAATATTTATTATTGTGATATTTGTAAGTCATGTGACTATAGTTTTTTCTACTAAGCCATTTTTATATATGTGAGTGTTTAAAACATACAAAAGTAGCTTATACATTTAGTTTATTCAAATCATGGGATAACCTTCATCCTGGCAAGATGTGGTGCCCCCTTCATATTAAAAAACTCCAAAATCCTAAATGATTGTGGATCAATGGAGATGGGAAGATAGAAACAAGTGAGCATGTGTTACTTGCTTGTCAATATGTTAACCATGTAGAAAGTACTTATATCACACTACTGCTTGTGTACTTTCCAGATCATCCTAGGCATTTCTACAATTCTTTGCTATTTTCTGACAAGAAATCTTCTATATAAAATATGGCAAAATTTTGTGTGGCAGCAAGAACAGGAAGTTTCTTTTCTTCATAATGTTATCAATAATTGTTTTTCTCCTCAAACTGATTTTTCTTACTAAGCTTTGCAATAATATTTCTCCTAAGCTCCTTTATTTCTTTTAACACAGCAGTTCATTGTTTTTCACCTGTGTTTTCTATTTTAGGCCAGATGTTTAATAGTCACAACAGTACAACAATTGTACCGTTTTATGCACTTTCTAGTTACTATAGATTCTGGTATACATAGGGTACCCTATATATTTTATATGTTCAATTTTATATCCATTCAAGATTAGTTTTCCTACAAATTTATCCCTCGACTTACGACCATGAGTTTTGTCCCATTTTACAACCTTTCTTGCCATAGTTGTTAAGTGAATTACTGCAGTTAAGTTAGTAACATGATTGTTAAATTAATATGTTTTCTCCATTGACATTATTTGTGAGTCACAAAAAGTTATCGCATGACTCTGGGACATTGCAACCATTATAAATATGAGCCAACTGCCAAGCATCCAACTTTTGATCATGTGAACATGGGGTTGCTGCAAGAGTCGTAAATGTGAAAAATGGTCATGTTACTTTTTTTTTAGTGCCACTGTAACTTTGACCACTAAACAAGCTATTTTAAGTTGAAGACTACCTGTAATATGTGATTCTACCTACAACTGTGACTACCTACAACTGTGATTCTTTTTATTATTACTATGTTTAGTGCCTATGGCAGATTTCACTACCTTTTGATTAGTTTTAGAGTGATATCTAAGTACTCAAACTGCTTTGAAACTCATTGAATTTTGTATTCAGTGCATTTGATTCTGTTTAATTTTCTGAAATTTTTCAAATTATTTACTTCTACAAATCTGTTTGTAGATAGATGTTTTATAAAACATCATTTTTGTTTTAAAAGAATCAATTCTTACCTTTTCTGATAAATACTGTTCATATATTCCAACTGCAGCTGTTCTTAACAAACCTTTGGTTTGTGTTGTTTGATGCACTCCATCCTTCTGATGGATCAACAATACTTCTAGCTGTTTTTGAGCTGTAACCCTGTATCCTTCTACTGTTATCCAGAAAAAGAGATGTGCTTGACCTCCCATCTGCTGCATGTAATCTAAACAAAAATAACAATGATTTATTTTCAATTATGCCGGTTTGGTTGTTTTGATTATATCAGTTGCCTAGAGTCATGAAAATGAAATAGACAGTTATACAAATCAAATCAAGTAATTAAATAAACAATTAAATCATATTATAATGGTTATATTTAAAACAATTATGGAATCCTTTCTTTCTTTAAAAATGCCAATTGCATTCACAGTTGTTCTGAAGCAATGTTTTCTAACAGGGATTGCACACAACTATTAAAAAGCACTTAGACTTACATTTGCTCCACGGTGCTTTACAGATTGCCTTCTACAATCTGAGTCCTCATTTTACTGACCTCGGAAGATAGAAGACTGAGTCAATCTTGACTGGTCAGGTTTGAACTACTGGCAGTGGGCAGAGTTAGCCTACAAATCCTACATTCTAACCACTGTACTACCATGGCATATTATGTTACTTGGGCCTTGAAATGAAAGAAGTCATCTTTTGCATATGACTGATTTTCTTGTTGTGTACTATTACATATTTAGATGTAAATGCACATCACCATTTAGGGACCCTTCTGTTTCTATGGCTCCAGAAAGGTGTAGTATTGTCTTTTGCTATGTTTATACAATGTTTCAATCTGCACATTACAAGCAGTGTACAATTAGATTAATACAAATTTACAGTAAACCAACACAAAGATATCTTTAAAATATTACATACAATGTAACAACTTTAAAAAAAAACAGTTTACTGCTGAAGTCACTCCAAAGAAGTTATGAAACAATCAGGCGTTAATGAACATTTGCAAAATTGTAAGAATAATAGATATCATTGCTTCTGGGAACAGGTTCTATCAAGAGAAGGACTTCATAGAACTTTTTCTATGATTTCTCCGGTGCCCTCATAGCAGACATCTTTCAGCAGGCATTTTCTATTTATTTGAACTGGTTAAATAGAGTCTATCTGGAAATCCAGATACCCAGATCCTGGTCTATGGGGACTATTGTTAAATGAAGCGCCTAATGATCTCCCTGTTCCTGCTTTCCCCAATGCATTTGTTAAATGAATGCACGTTAGATAGAGCATGGGGTGACTCAGGGATGGGAGAAACTGAGGGAGGCTTAGTGCAGGCACAGCCACTCCCAGGAAGCCTTCCCTCCACTTTTTAAGATATCCCATGCTCTGCCTCCTGCCCCTTGGTTTCCCCAAAGCCTATAGGCCTCCTCCATATCCCACCCCATCACCATTTGCTCAGGAAGTCAGCATAGAGACCACTCTCTATGTGGCATAATCAAGAAGAAGAATCCGATCTTCCATTCCAATCCATTTTCCTTCCATTCCAATCCTTTAGTCTCTGGCCAGCATAAACTACTGTATTTTTTGCACTATAAAATGCACCTGACTATAAGATACACCTAAGTTTAGAGGATGAAAATGAGAATGACAAAGAGAGAAGATATGGCTCCATATGACTACATATTCTCATTCCAATAAGCTGAAAGTATTTTTTTTAAATTATAGTAACCAGAATATGCCTTAAATATCTCCTTGCTTTGCTAAAACTGCTAGATGAATCTAGTAAATAAGTAATGGAGTGGAGTGTCTACAAAGTTTAGGCAAGTATATAAAGAAACCTCAATTGTTCCAGTATTGAAGAAACCCTAATTTGCCAGTGGATTGCCTAGGTTTCATTTTTTTCCTGATTACCTAATCTTCAGGCACCTTCTTCTGGAAGAAATAATTAAAAGAAAAGTGACATATTTGCCAGATTAATTATTCTTGTGACCTTTGAATGGTGAGCAAAAGAGCAGTTTCTTCTAAATTTCCACTGCTTTCAAAAGCTACAACATGAGATTTTAAGAAGTGATCTGATAAAACATTGAAACATTCAAGCTATTCAATTTTTATATTGAGATAATGCAGACAACTCAAAAATATTTCCACAGAATACCACAAGTAAAACAACTTTTTTCTGAACTGAAAACAAAGTATTTTATGACTTCATGCATATTCAGATTCACTGACATGTGTGTTCAAAATAGATATTTTTTAAACAGTAACCACCATATAGAGCTTAATGCAAATCTCAGTAGGTTGATTTATTTTGCTTGATATTTTTTAATGGATGAAATACCTTTAAATACCATTTAAACTTCATCATAAAATGAAGCATAAAATATTAAACTTACCCTAAATAGAGTTAATGACATAATTTGTTTACATTTCTTTGGCCTAGATCTTATTTAACTGTGTAGATATTTGGGAAAGAGAAACAGCTGTCTGTTCATTAAATTGATTTGGCGTATAAAAAAGCAAACCTTCTAAAATAGATGGGATCAAAAAAAGTCCTCATATCAGTTATCTTTATTCATTTTTAGGTAAATACATACCCATTTATATAGCATCCTATTACAGTACTATAATTTTAATCATGCAATATATATTCATTTCCAACTACTGTTTTCTTACCCATAAAAAACTGTAGTGCAACATTGTTTACTAGAATGTTGTCCAGAGGGACTGTGCAAAGTTTTCCAAAATTTGCAGCCAGTTTCACAGTATCTATTTCCTGAATAAAGGTACAATACATTAATAGACATGGATATGCAATATTTATACAACATAGCTTATTTTTGCTATATATCAAAATCAGGGACGATGTCTTCTCATAAGATTTTAGGTACAGACATTCATAAAGTTAACTATGTAATTTACATGTACAATTTAAAAATTTGTTTGATAATAGATTGGCAATAGATTCTTTATCTTGAGCCAAGATCTTAGTTCAGTAGCAATTGATATATAGCAAAACTAATATCTTTTTTAGACTGATATGATATGAGAACTAACCTGAAAAATTCAAACTACTAATATTCATTAACTATTGAAAACAATGCAAAAGATTCTGATAACACTGAGCTCTATTATTTGATTTAGAAAATCAAGTATCATAATTGGCTCAGATGTTTAGGTATAATTGCAAAACATGAAATATACTTACTTTTCCTGACTGTAGTCTCAGTATTCTTGAATCACATACTTTCTTAACAAAGAGTAAGCTATTTATTTGATTTTTTATATGGTTAATATCTGAAAAGAAATCAAGTAAGATTTAAAAGGATAAAATACATGTATTTAAATTCCCAATGAATTGTAAATGTATTGCTCAAGGCTACATAGAAGGAGAAGACAATCAAAAGTCTCTGAAGAAAAATGAACATTTTTTTCAAAATGGAATCAATGCTATTATTGATAAGCACAGAAATATTAACTAAGTTAATATATACTGGCAATGAAAATTTGGGCTTTGTGAACTATTTTAGTGGAATACATTCTTATATTTTTCTATGAGAAAATATTTTAAAAGCTATCATTCACACTAAACGACATACATTTTAAATTCATGAACTACATTATAGACATAAATGCACTTCATTTACTCTATATTGATTTTTCTAAGTACAACTTTTGAAAACGTAAGGATTACCTCATGATTGAGCACAAAATTAATTATGATGGAAAACTCATTTTAAAATAAAATTGTCTTTGAAAGCAACATTCAGCCCTTATAAATGCATAGGTGCTAAGAACCAAGAATGGCATTTGGAATTACTTAAAATAGTTTCCTTTATTGTTTTTCACACCCATAGACAGAGTCTTACCATACTAAAGCAATTATTTACATAACTAGAGATAGACTATGAGAATAATGAGGGAGGAGCCATTTTAATTCTGTTCTTATTGACTAAACTTTTCAAGTTCTTCAGCTACTTTGCCCTCTGGAAAGCTGTCCATCCTCCTGGAAATCCAGACTATATTCCACAATTTGCTAGAACAAGCATTTCCATAGCATACAATTACCTTCAAAATTGTCTTCCCTTTACTATGTCTACTGAAATAAGTAAGCTTTCTCAAGGGAATTTTTATGCATGCTGGACATGGTTTCAAACTACATAACCTTGGCAAGCTTATATGCAGATTTGAATTTCATAACAGAAAAAAACGGAATAAAATCATGAATAGCTTGTTTTTAAGAGAGGGAAGTTTCTTATTATTCCATAATAGTCAGTTATGTTAATTTATTTATCCATCCAAGAAACTTATTATGCTTATATGAGGCATAATTAAAAACTGTCAGGCTACTTGCATCTTCATTCTATATCTAAATTCTGGCTTTTTCCCCAGAATTCTCAAATCATCTTATTTTTAAATAGAAAATTTGTCCCTTAAGATTATAACCTTCTAACTTCTAAGAGAATGCTACATGAAGAAAAAATACATGCCATCTTAGGGTTATATAATAATTATAAACATAACAGTACTAACCATCTCCAGCTGTATCCAAAGAACGAAGATATTGCAGTTCTTCTGTGGCTTTATCTCTTACTGCTTCTAACTCTCCTACTTTATCACTTACTTTAACAATGTTCATAAAGGCCTCATAATTGCAAATTGAATCACGAATCTGAAATATGCGAGAAAGAAAATGTTAATAAAGCCATGTTTTTCAGATGTGAATTTTATATATAAATAGGCAGTTCCTTTTAAAGCCTGCATTTATATAAAAAAATTACACATCCTCTGAATAACTCAGCTTTTGTTATCTCCTTGCTATCATTGTGCATATTCCTTAAAGCCATAAGCAATAAATATATTTAAGGTTTAGCAATGAAGCACATACTATGTTTATGATTAAAATCATTCTATTTGCGAATAATACATTTTAATGGCACATACATCATTTTTACTCAACTTTTTGGGTCAGCACTACTTTTAACAGTATTATTGATTCACAAAATCTAACAATTTCAAAGAAAACAAAGTACACACAACATTATGTAAATGCTTATTACAGTTATAACTTATAAATGAACTGTTCCTCTAAAATTAAGACTAAATATTGGTCATATAGATTTAAGATAATTTATCACTTGTGTCAGCAGAGAAGGCATGCTTTGAGTCCTGTTAGCCCGATTATTCCGGCTAGTGAGGTCCAGGAGAAGGGCCTTCTCTGCTGTTACTCCTGCCTTCTGGAACATCTTGCTCCCTGATGTGATCAAATAATAACAGAAGTGGAAGGAGATAATCTATTCTTGTCTTTTAAAAGTTTCATGTTCATTCCCATTTATTAGTAATAAAACTGCTAGCTATAAGAATTTAAGGTGATTCTCATTTGTAAGAGTGAAGCATTCCTATTTTCAAATACTCACATAGCTGCAAGACATAGATGGTGAAGGTTTAACCATTTTAAACTTTTAACTACATAAAAGAGAAGTTCTGTGCTCCAGTGGTTTGAATCCTATCACTGCGTGACAGAGTGAGCTCCTTTTACTCGCAATGAAAGCATGTAAAATGGTGTTTGAGATGGTGTTTGATTTCGTTGTACGAGGTGCAATGACAATAAAGTAAACTAAACTAAACTAAAATGCAAATAAATAAAGCACCACCACTTTGATACAATGGTCCATGCTTCACCACATGCTCTGCACTGCAGCATGATGTCATGCTGGTCACTTGACCACAGAAACATCTTCAGACAGCACTGGTTAAATGGCCTAGGGATGGATATGAGTACCATTCGGATACAACTAGTAAACCCACAAGAATTCCTTTCCCTTTTTAAAAAATAGATGCTTAGAGAAGACTGTGATTCCAATAAAGGAATATTTATAGGTCAGGATTTAAATTATATCAATACATGATTGTTGAAAATAGACAACAATTACAATTTGAGAGGTTATATGTGTCAGAGTATTAGTTACCTATTGAATTGTCTTTCCTCACTAACTGTTAAGCCTAATGTATCCAAATTCTGTATCACCAATAGTCACTCATTTCTTATCTAGAAAATATAGGCAACAACATTCAAATATAAAGTCCTCACTTACAAACCACACTTCCAGTGATTGTTCAAACTTATGATACTGAAAACAAAGACTTGTTGTTTTCCCCACGTTCATATGATCTTGATTTGGGTGCTAAGAACCAGTACACATTTGTAATGGTATCAGCATCTCACTACCTTCACAGCCAGCTTCCAACAAACAAAGTAAATGAAGAAGCTGACAGAAAATGGCAAACTGTGGTCATGTGACAACAAAGTAACCACCAGTTATTTGTTTAATGTCCTTAGCAGAAATTGATATCCTAAGTCAGCCCGGTTATGTAATATGATGCTAAATGATTGTACCACTTATTGGTGGAATTGCTCGTCCCTATTGTGATTGATAAAGGACTATCAGTAATAAATACACATCTGAATTTGAAGAAATATTGGCTTTACCTTTATACCACAAGTGCAAATATGTATATACATTCATATATATTTATATATTTATCCTTCTAGCCATGTTTATCTATCTAACCATCCACCCATGTTTTAGCGATCTGTCTGTCATATTTATCTATCTTCCATCCACTCATCAGCTCCAGGATTATTATTTTTTCTAAGTCAATTTTGTTCCTGGTTTCAAGAATAGAAAGCAACTGAAATTGAAATATATTTACTTAAAAAATTGTGGGTTTCTGCTTTGCCAGGTTTGACTTTATGATTTTTAAATAACTTACCATCCATATGAAATGCTGATTAATATAATCAGGATCACTGAGCTGATTTATTAATGGAAGAAGAATTCCTTGAGAAAGGATTTCCTGAAAAATAATGGATAATAAAATTAGATCTATCGTTCATACATACAATTTCTGTAGAATATTACTTTTGATTCAAGCTCTTGCCAAAATAATCAAAAGCCGCTAAATCCATTTATCCTTACAGTCAATTGGATTGAGATTGGGTGGCTATACAAATTGAATAAATAAATAAATCTTTCATATATTTTGAAAAATGCATTTAATATACTTTAAGAATTATTTTCAGTAAGTAGCAGTCAGTTTTATGTTTTTAGATTTGTATCCTTTAGTAAGTACAATCGTAGTTTAATTCTCAGTACTAAATCCATTAAGAACATAATTAAACTGAAATCCTTTTTCATTAATCATCTTCCACTCCAATTTAATAATACAAAGAATGGCTGTATACACTGTCCCCATGTTCTATGGGTACTGCAGTGTCTACACACTGATGACTGTCTAAAATAGAAGACAACTCAGTACTCATTGGTTCTCTAATTATTTGAAACCTGTACTATCTGATTGCAAATTACAGAATCTATACCAATATCTTGGCCTTGAGTTACTAGTTTGAAAGTTTCATCCAAACTTTGAGATTTATATGAAAGAAAGAGGAGAAATACTGAAAAGATAAACAACAACTAATTTTGCAAGAAAACATGAAAGGAACTAAGATATGACCTAAATATTGATCATGAATTTACTTCCCTTCTACTTCAGAAGTTTATGACAGTCCTGTATTATTGAAATACAGGATATTTATATTTGGTAACTGTGTTTGTTCATGTCTCTGAAGAAAGCTTACTGTCCAATTAATCTTTGTTTTGGAGGAGCACTGCAAGACATATTCAATGGATTTCTTCAATACAAACATATTACCCATGATAACGATAAAGAAATGCCAGGATGGAATCCCATTTCATCTCCCTGTCATCAATCAATATACTGGATAATAAAAATTAGCCTGAAAAAGGCTAATTTAATTAGTCTTTGAATTTTAAGTCAGTTCAATGTAAAGTTTTTGAACAACAGAATTTCATGGATATTTACTACAATAAAAATGTAATGAAGATAACTGTAGATAGTTTGCATCCTAAGAAAACAGTGCAGATAAAAACTAGCTTTCATGAATATTTTCTACAATAGATTAGGTAGAGATAGCCTACTGCCACCTGGGCTGCCTACTTTGCTGCAAAAAATGCCTACCTTATTGAACAGCAGACAGATGACACAAATATGAACTCTGAAGCATTTCTTCATAAACATGGTTTTAAACCCTGGACAACATAGCAGCTAATGGCTACATAGCATGATGCTATTATACATCTGTTGATGCTATACATCTTGGTACAAAAGGATGTACTTTCTGTTCAGAAAGACTTCAAGAGCTTGGGATATGAATTTAGTAATACGGGCTGTAGGCTTATCTTTTCAGAGGTTCTACCAGTATACAAGGAACAAGGGAAAGGGCAGCGTGTAGCAGAGTTTAATGTGTGGCTAAAGGAGTGGTGTAAAAGGGAAGGCTTTGGTTTTATTAGCCATGATGTCTGCAGCTGGTCCAATGAAAAACTGTACAAGAGATGGTTTGCATCCATTAAAGAAAGGGACTGAGTTACTTGGCATTAAATTCACAGATTTCCTGGATAAACATTTAAACTGAACAGCGGGGACAGACAATTAATGGATTCAGAACATTTCTGTCCCCAGCAACCTAAAACTAATAAGGATACCAGTGCATGCAAAATAGTTGTTTTTGCAGGTAAGATTACCAACCTTGATGCCAACCAAAACCAAGCATTTAATAATGAGTGCCATACCATGTGCACTAATCAAACAGGTGGCAAGAAAGTAGGGGCAAGCAGGCACAACACAGGTTATGTAGACAGGAAACAGTGTCAGACATAAAGATCTCAAATGCCTATATACAAATGCACAAAGTCTGGGGAACAAACAGGGTGAACTAGAACTACAAATACATGAAGGTAAATATGATATAGTTAGAATAACAGAAACTTGGTGGGATGAAACCCATGACTGGAACATACTGGTAGAAGGATACAAACTATTCAGAAAAAAAACAGACCTCATAAAAGAGGAGGTGGAGTTGCACTGTATGTAAAGGATCACTATATTGCTACAGAAATGCATGAAACCAAAGATGAAAACCTCCTAGAATGCATATGGGTCAATATAAAAGAAAAAAAGAATGATATGGCATATATTATAGGCCACCCAATCAAGCAGAAAAAATAGATGTCCTTTTTGCCAGCCAACTAACAAACATATGCAGGAAACACACAACAATAGTAATGGGAGACTTCAATTATCCTGATATCAATTGGAAAACTAATTCTGCCCCAAGTGAGAAATCAAATAAGTTCCTAACCAAACTAGCTGACAACTTTGTTGTCCAAAAGGTAGAGGGTAAAACTAGAGGGACAGCCATACTGGACTTAATTCTTACAAACAGAGAAGGAGTGATAGAGGGAGTTGAAACTGCAGGAACCTTGGGTGAGAGTGACCATGTCATACTAGAATTCAACAGAACACAAACACAAGCAACAGAACATAATGACACCAGAGTCTTGGATTTTAAAAGAGCTGATTTCAATAAACTCAGAGAGAACTTGGGAAAGATTCCATGGATGAAAATCCTAAAGGGGAAAACAAATGAAGAATCTTGGGAAACTCTAAAAAGTATGATCATAGAAGCCCAGACCAGCACAATACCACTGAGAAAGAAAAACAAGAAATCCAAGAAGAAACCAGCATGGCTGCACAAAGATTTATTTGGCAAATTGAAAGAAAAAAAGTACAAGTATAAAAAATGGAAAGAAGGACATACAGCTAAGGCAGAATATCAGCAGATAGATGAAGTCAGGATAGCAAAGGTCAGAATGAAGTCAGAATGAACAAAGACTTGCGACAAAAGTCAAAGATAATAAAAAAAAGTTTCTTCCAACATATAAATAACAAGAAAAAAAATCAAGGAAATAGTCGGTCCACTAAAGAGAGAAGATGGCAAGGAAGTAACAGGCAACAGAGAGAAAGCAAAACTGTTTAACTCATTCTTTGCATCCGTCTTCACGCAAAAAGAAACTATAGCTCAACCTACCAAAAACATAACTCTAAAAGACAATAAAAGTTAAAATAAGCAAAAAAATAGTAAGAGAACACCTGTCTGATCTTGATGAAAACAAATCACCGGGGCCTGATGGATTATATCCCAGAGTTTTAAAGGAGCTGGCAGAGGTCATCTCAGAACCACTGCACCATATCTTTCAAAAATCTTGGAACACCGGGGAACTACCAGAGGACTGGAAAAGATCCCATCTTCAAAAAAGGAAAAAAAAAACAGACCCAGGAAACTATTGACCAATCAGCCTAACATCAATACCCGGGAAGATACTGGAAGATAATAAAAAAACAGATCTGCCAACATCTAGAAACAAGTAAAGTAATAACTAGCAGTCAGCAGGGGGTTGTTAAAAACAGATCATGCCAAATCAATCTTATTTCATTCTTCAACACAGTGACTAAATTAGTAGACCAGCAAAATAGTATGGACATAATATATTTAGATTTTAGCAAGGCATTCAACAAAGTAGACCACAATCTACTTCTTAGTAAGCTAGAAAAAAGTGGAATAGATAGCATCACCACTAGATGGACTTGCAACTGGCTGGCAAATTGTACTCAATGAGTAGTCCTTAATGGGTCTAAGTCTACATGGAGGGAAGTAAGCAGTTGGGTGCCACAAAGTTCTGTCTTAGGCCCAGTACTCTTCATTAAAGACTTAGATGAGCGAATAGAAGGGGGAACTTACCAAATTTGCAGATGATACTAAGCTGGCAGGAATAGCTAACACCCAAGAAGATAGGCTCAAGATCCACATGGATCTTGACAGACTAGAACACTGGGCTGTATCTAACAAAATGAAATTCAATGTAGAGAAAAGTAAAGTCCTACACTTAGGCAAGAAAAACCAAAAGTACACATATAGACTTGGTGAAACCAGGCTCAATAGCAGTAACTGTGAGAGGGATCTTGGAGTCTTAGTGGACAACCAGCTAAATATGAGCCAGCAGTGTACAGCAGCAGCCAAAAAAGCTAATGCAATCCTAAATTGTATTAACAGAGGGATACAATCAAGATCAAGGGAAGTACTAATACCACTCTATAAAGCCTTAGTAAGACCACACCTAGAGTACTGCATCCAGTTTTGTTCACCACATTATAAAAAAAGATGTTGAGACTAGAAAAAGTACAGAGAAGAGCAACCAGGATGATTCGGGGACTGGAGGCTAAAACATATGGTTGCAGGAACTGGGCTTGGCTAGTCTAGTAAGAGAAGGAGACGGACCAGGGGAGACATGATAGAGGTTTTCCAATATTTGAGGGGCTGCCACAGGGAGGAAGGGGTCAAGCTATTTTCTAAAGCACTTGTAAGCCAGACGAGGAATAATGGATGGAAACTGAACAAGGAGAGATTTAACCTGGAAATAAGGAGAAACTTTCTGACAGTGAGAACAATCAACCAATGGAAGAGCTTGCCCTCGGAAGTTGTGGGAGTGCCATCACTTGAGACTTTCAAGGAGAGATTGGCCTGCCATTTGTCAGAAATGGTGTAGGGTGTTACCCCTTGGCGGGGGGTTGGACTAGATGACCTACAAGGTCCCTTCCAACTCTGATTATCTGTTTGATCTGTTTATTTTTAATTAATGATGAAACTTGTAATGGCGCTATTTTAAAACCTGCATTTTTACAGTAGAAATTAATTGTAGTATGAGATACAATTGAAAATGAAAAAAATTGATTCTATACAAATCAATACCACATTACAGTACTCCTTGACTTACAACCTCAAATTTTGATCAGAATTTCAACTGTAAGTCAAAATTTTTAAAGTGTATCATCATATGACTGGACACAAATTTACAACCATTTTTATTATTATTATTATTAAACAAATCACTGTGGTTCATTAATAAATGATTGTTAAGTGAAGCCATTCCATAATTGATACTACTTGCCAGAAACTGTCTAGAAAGGTCGCAAATCACCATCACATGAATGCAGGATGCTGAACTGGTTGTAAATGTAAGCTGTTTTGTCATGCATCTGAATTGCAATTATGTCACTAGAGGGATGATGCGACTAAATTCAAGGGCAGGTCATAAATCACTATTTCTGAGGCCATTGTAACTTTGAACTATGATTGAACCAACGGTCATGTCAAGTGGTTCTGCTTACCTCAGGAAAAAAAAGTCTGATAAAATGTTCGTGTAGTTTGCTATAGCATTTTTTCAGAATATTTTCAATTTCCCAATCTTACAGCTTTATTGTTTAACAACATCCCATCTAAATATTAACTAGGTCAGGTCTTGCTTATGCATTTTAAAGGGAGAAGAATGCTGGTATAGAATTAAAACAATGTTGTGTAAAGACAATGTGTAAAAACTTAAGGCAATGTTGTGTAAAAAATATGTTTAAACTGAGAAGATAGCTGTAGTATTAAGTGGTAAAAGAAAGGCAGTAGAACATTAGCTCTTGAAAACAGGATGGCAAAATAGTTGATTAATGGAGGGAGAACTGGAAAAAAGGTGACACATTATTATAATATCTTCATCATTTTATGCTGTCATTTTATACATAATCCTTAATTTACTACCACAATTAGGACTGAAATTCCACTCTCCAAGCAATGTGATTGTTAAGCGAGTTATCACATGACCAGACCCAACTTTACAACCATTTTTATTTCAGTTGTTAAATGAATCACATGGTTAAGTGAACATAGATTTTTTTTTAAAGTGAATTTGACTTCCTCCATTGATTTTGATGAAAGCGAATTGGGAAAGTCACAAATCATTGAAAGGTGCTGCAACTATTGTGCAAGCCAGTTGTCAAATGTCTAAAAAGCAGTCATGGCTGTGAGATGGAATGTAACACAACTTTGATAATGGATTGTAAGTCATGTTTTCCAAAACTATCATAATTTGAAACTGTCATTAAATGAATAGCCATAGGTCAAGAACTACTTGTGTATAAGTATGGATGTATTTTGCAAAAAACAAAACAAAATATATTCTATAATTATAATTATAATTATACACAGCCTTGTGTCATTTATATTTAGCATGAAGCAAAAGCTGATGGAGCATCTATTACAGGTTTTCTCATCACTGTCTTTCTTTCAGGGTAGTAGGAAGAAAACAGAAGATTTCAAATAAAATAAAATAAAATAAATGATGTATGCACAATAGAGTTATCCATATTCTTATATACAGTTATGTAACATGTCTAGAATTATTAGATACAGAAGTATTAGAAATAGCAGAGAACCAGTGTATGCCTCCTGTATTTCTAGGCAGAAATTTCTTGCCTGAATCAGAGCTCCTGTTCAAAAGATGGCTCAATACCATGTTGATATAAAAGAATGAAAAGCAAAATAAGTTGGTCAATTTCTCGGACTTCTTTAAAAACAAGTTCTCAATTTCAGACTGCCCATTTTATTTTTATATATTGTTAATGAATATTATATTTAATAAATTTATTTTACATCATATATTTTATTATATAAATATTATATACATATTATATAAATATTATTATACAAATTTAGCTCTTAGGCTAAAGAATATTGGATTACTGCAGTGATATAATATGAAATTAAATTTACCCTGACAAAATATCTCATGATCTTGTTCTGGAAGTCCCCTGGAGGTAGCAATAAATACAGTAAAACTTCACACAGATCCCTTAGGAATCCTAAAAGTACAAGATAAGAATGCTTATCAAAATCTAGTAATATCCATCTATCCATCCACCCATCTACTAAGTTTTTATATACTTCAAATATGATTTTAGATGTAAATATACATCTAAACTTTAGATAAGTTTAGTCATAAGATTAATCTGAAACATTTTGCAACATTTCTACACTAACAGAAAAATAGTACACAAATATGCTTCTTTTCCCCAACAGTAAAATCAAATGTCATATCAAACTATCAATATAGACATTTAGACAAATTAAATAATTTCTTTTCCCCTTAAATAGTGCACTGCAGACTTTTAATTTTTTCATCAGTCATACAATCATATTCTTTATTTTAAAGTATATAATTCTTTTATAATATAGTAAAATAATTATATAGTCATATAGTTTGCACATAATACATATTAATACCTAATATTTTACTCTATGTTAATTGTGTTTTAAAGCTTAATAAAAAGTAATCTATATCTATACTGTAAAATATAGATGATGATCAGCATGTTTCATTTATTTAAAGCATAATTAAGAAAGAAAACAATCATATACCTTCTTCATCTTTGGGAGATGTGCAGACTAGATCACGACAGATGGTCTCTTCCATTTCAACTTCAACTTCAAAAAATGTATCTACAAAATCTTCTGCTCCATCTACACCAAAATTGAAAACTTGAGCAGATTTTATCTAGAAGAATTTTCATCTGCAATAATCCCTATTACTGCATTCAGATATCTCCTCCTTATTAACATGTTATTTTATCATTTATGTATTATTTGTATATGGTTTAGTAATTTCTCTTTTCCTACATTTTCAAGTGTATCCAGTTGCTAATGAACTTACTGTCAATTTCAAAGAGTTCATTGTATGTACAGCTGTACTGCTTACAATATATACCATAGATAGTGCTTTCCACATCAGATTCAAAAGATAACAAGGAATATGTTCTTGTCTTTGAATGTATAACACAAAGCAAAAAAGAATAATAATTCTTACTGGTTTTTGTGCAGTAGGAAGCAAAGTGTTATTTGCTAGACTGTACTGCATTGCACATCCTGTATTTCCATTTCTTTTTAGTTACTTTGCAAATCATGTGAAGATGGCCAAAATATTCTACATTCAAGACCAGCAATTCACATACTCTACCCCTTCAAGTTGTCTTCCTTCCATCCAGGGTTATGAATTCTGGCTGAATAGAAATTAAAAGAAAGCTTTTCTACAGAAGGCACATCTGTCTCTGGCCAGTGATTTCTGTTTATGCAGGAATCTACTGTTGAACTTACAAAACCAAAATTTTCAAATTCCTTTCTTTAAATTCCCCTGAAAATGCCTCTATTTTCCTTTTTTTTAAAAAACGCAAGGTATATCATTGGGAAGCAAAAAATCAGGCTAAAGATGAAGAAAGCAGAAAAAAAACAGTGAGGGGAGCAGGTATCTCTATCAAGCAGTATAATGCATGCCATGTACAATATGCCATTTATCTGTAATGTAAACAGAAGAGTGACTGAATTAAGGAACTTTTAGTGGAAAAAACCACAGTGTACCTTCTGTTTTGCTGTTTCTACTTCTGGAACAGCATTGATCCCAAGGTCCATATGGCCATGACTTTCAGGCAAGTCTTAAAGACCTGGAAAGACCTGACTCTTCCAGAAGGTACTGTATCAGGATGCTTTGTTAATTCACTGATTTAGTATTGGTTTCAAGTTTTCATACTCTCTGGATGCTTGTGTATTATGTTTACAATATTATTTATTGTTATATTGTGTTAACTTTTTTGTACAACACCTTGAATTCATCAAAATCAAATGGCTTTATAAATATTGTAAAATAAATATAAAATAGCAATAACTTTATACATAAGACAGATTGAATTAATGCAACTTAGGAAAGAAACTGCCTTCATTTAATTTATTATAACATTTCTATAAGAACATATTTAGCCAGTACCTTTAATCTGATCATCTCTTTCAGTTATTCTTTGCTGAGCTTTTCTGAATACTCTAAGATGAGTAGTAAAATCATCTACAATTCGAGTAGTAAAATAAGGCTGCCAATCTATTTCTTTTGTCCTTAAAAATTTAAAGAAATTGACAATGTATTACATAAAAGGCTTCTAACATAAATTGACACTTTCTCTGATCTTAACTTGTTCATTGGATGATAATTTTAATTAGATTTTTGACACTACAATAACATGTACTCTTTTGCTAAGATCGTTTTATTTTGATATTTCATAGATGCTCTTTTTACAGTTTGTTTGGCTTTTGTATATCCAAATGTTATACAAAATGGAGGAGAAGATTTTAACAAAATTGGAGTGACATTGATCATAAAGACTTAAGACTTCTGCACAATATATTAATTTCAGCTAATACTTGAATCTGCTTTGCCAAAGCCTGGCTTCTACAAAATAAAACTACCTTTAATTTGCAGTGAAACATTTTGCACACAACAGAGTCATCACTGTATTTTTCTGCCAACATACTATTATGTTAATTCTTTTATGTCACAAAGCTCCCTCTATATTGTTATACAAACTTAAGTTCTTAATATGAAGGGAATGTTTTACGGCAATAATGATGAATCATAAATGGCTAATTAGCAATAATTCTATCCACTAAAATCCACCTAAATATCACTAAAATTAAGTTTATTAAGTTCCTATAAAATGCATAGATATTTAAATTATAGCTAACTCTTCACAATTTTAAGTCAAATGTGTAATAATGCTACTTTTTAAAAGATGTTCAGTTTTGGCATCAGCTTCATAAATGAAGTGGAATTGTCTCTTGGATGTGGTAAATGGCCCACACTGGATCTATCCTGAAATTCAAGGATGATTTCGGCATGGACTGTTTGCAGTATGGGGCATTTAAAACCAGCAGCCAGAGTCAAGAGACATCCTTCTAGTTCATAGAACTGGCTGCAAATGCCCCATGTTGTTAGAATGCTTTTCAGCCAGCTGCAGCTTCTCTTTGAAGGCAGCAGTGGCTTGCAACCCTTCCTGCTACTTTCCCAGTGACTGTCTGGAGAAGCCAGCAGGGAAGATTACAAATGTCAATCACATGATCACAAGGTGCCTGGTAATCAATCATGTGAACAGATTACCAAGCAACCAGATTGCAATCACATGACTGTGGGTGTCTGTAATGACCATAACTTAGAGTATGTGTCATAAGTCTGTTCATTCAGCAGCAATGTAATTTCAAATAGACTTTGAACTTTATTAAGTTCATATATTGATTAAGCAAAGAAAACCTGTAACAGTATTTTTTGTGAAATACCTAGGTAGTTTTTGTAAATAACATGTATTTGAGGATATTCACATATTAATCTTCTTTTATAAAATATTGGGAGATTTTTAAAGACTTGTTTGAAAACTACTGAAAATAATTCTTACCTAGAAGAAAACTGAATTAATGCATTTTGGAGAGTCTGCCTGATTTCAAGAAGAAAAGATTCATCATCACTTAGTGTATAATACCAATACTGGACATAGTCACGCAAGGAAAATTGAATGATCTGAAACATACATTTTTAAAGAAATCAAACATTAAAACATTCATAAAGCAATTACTTTTAACAAATATTTAGCAAATCAATTTCATAAAAAAAATTATGCTTATAATGGTCTAGTTATGTTTGCATTAATTTATAAAAATGTATAAAAATCAATGAAACTTCAAACAAGTAACACTGATCACTGTCTGAAATACTAATGACAATGTTAATTATAGAATACCTTTACTTTACAAGTAGTCCTCAATTTACAACAACAATTAAGCCCAACATTTCCATTGCTAGGCAAGGCAGTTGTTAAGTGAGTTTTGTCCCATTACATTTTTTTTTGCCACAGTAGTTAAGGAAATCACTGCAATTATTAAACAAATCATATGGTTGTTAAGTAAATCTCACTTTCCCCATTGACTTAGCTTGGAGAAGCCAATAGGAAAGATTACAAATAATGATCACATGACACCAGAACAATGCAACAATCATAAATACATGGCAACTGACAAATTCCTGAATCTGATCACATAAGTATGGGGACATACAACATACCTAAGTGTGGAAACCAATGATAAATCACCTTTTTCAGTGCTGTTATAAATTTGAACGGTCACTAAGTGAATGGTTGTTAAGTCAAGGACTACCTCTACAGCTTTTCAAATTAAGGATAAATAAGAATTTCATTTTATCCAGATTTCTAAACAAATTAATCTAATTATTCCTAAAAATATTTCAACAGATACAATTATGCTGTGTTGTCTTCTGAACTGAAGTGGAGCTGAACCAATATGAATACAAGAAGAAATAACATTGAACTGTTATAAATCAATTCTTACATCCTTAGCTCTTTTAATTTTCTTTCTTACGTCTGCTAACTTGGTTTTGTGTGTGTGTGTGTCTATTGTGTGCATGTGCAATCTTCATTTAATTTCCATCGCCAGCATTCTAATATTACTAATTTAAATTCTGTTTGCAATTATCCTCTTTTGCCTTTTATTACTGTTTTTAATAGATTTCATAAAGAAATGTATTCTAGTAATAGAAATGAGTGCACCCATACTTGCCCTGTATGTTTCCAAGCACTTACAACTCCATATTTTCTGATTTTTCATATTCTAGAAATTTCAGAAGTTGAAAAGGAAATAAGTGTAGGAAATGATATATTTTAGAATGAGTAAAGAAGTACATTTATATTGGCAAAGAAGAAACACCATTAAATGTGCTATGTGACATGCATATTATCACAGTGTTTCTATAATTTACCAGGAGACTATTTTGTTTGTTTTAATTTTCTCATAATAGCAATAGCACTTAGACTTATATACCACTTTATAGTGCTTTACAGCCCTCTCTAAGCGGTTTACAGAGTCAGCATATTGCTCCCAACAATTTGGGTCCTCATTTTACCCACCTCGGAAGGATGGAAGGCTGAGTCAACCTTGAGCCTGGTGAGATTCGATATGCCAAATTGCAGGCAGCTGGCTGTAACAGAAGTAGCTTGCAGTACTTCACTCTAACCACTGCATCACTGAGGCTCTTATATAATCCTAGAATTAAGCGCTTATTTAAGAGGTTAATATAATTTGGATGGGGACAATGTGTGAACCTGCTAGAATATTGCAGCTACAATAGATTATTTATATTTTTGTAGCCTTAAAATTGGTCTTTCTATCCCTATTAGAATCAATACAAGTTCCACATATTTTCTTCCATATACTATTTCTCGTGCTCTACACCAAGGGTGGGATTCTACCGTTCAAACAAGTTTGGGCGAACTGGATGTACATCTGATTCACTGAACCAGTAGTTGAACTGATCGTCTGGCCCCACTCAGCCTCTCCCAGAAGTCTCCATGCAGCCCATTTTGGATGCAGGTAAGAGATAGATATAATTCTTTATTGGCCAAGTGTGATTGGACACACAAGGAATTTGTCTTGGTGCAAATACTCTCAGTATACATAAAAGAAAAGATACATTCATAAAGAGTCAAGAATCATAAGGTACAACACTTAATGATAGTTATAGGGTACAATAAGCAATCAAGTCATACTAGGGAACAGTCAATATAGATCGTAAGGATACAAGCGACAAAGTTACAGTCACAAGTGGGAGGGGATGGGTGATAAGGAGTGATGAGAACATTAACAGTAATAGTAGTGCAGACTTTGTAAATAGTTGAACAGTGTTGAGGGAATTATTTGTTTAGCAGAGTGAAGAAGAAAATTGTTCTTGTGTCTAGTTGTTCTGGTGTGCAGTGCTCTACAGCATTGTTTTGAGGGAAAGAGTTGATACAGTTTATGTCCGGGATGTGAGGTGTCTGTAAATATTTTCACAGCACTCTTTTTGACTCGTGCAGTATACGGGTCCTTGAATGAAAGCAGGTTGGTAGTAATTATTTTTTCTGCAATCTAATTATCCTCTGAAGTCTATATCTTTCCTGTTGGGTTACAGAACCAAACCAGACAGTTATAGAGAGGCAGATGACAGAATAATTTCTTTATAGAACTGTATCAGCAGCTTCTTGGGCAGTTTGAGCTTTCTGAGTTGGCGCAGAAAGACCATTCTTTGTTGTGCTTTTTTGATGACGTTTTTGATGTTAGGTGTCCGTTTTAGGTCTTGTGATATAGTAGAAGCTAGATATTTGAAGGTCTCTACTGTTGATACTGTGTTATCTAGTATTGTAAGAGGTGGTAGTATGGGTGGGTTTCTTCTAAAGTCTACCACCATTTCTACGGTTTTGAGTGTGTTCAGTTCCAGATTGTTCCAGTTATACCATGACGCAAGTTGTATAATCTCCTGTCTGTATGCGGATTCGTCGTTGTCTTGAATGAGACCAATCATTGTTGTGCCATCAGCAAACTTCAGCATTTTAACAGAGGGATCGTTTGAGATGCAGTCATTGGTATATAGGGAGAAGTGGAGAAAATACACAGCCTTGGGGGGGGGCGTGCTAATTGTACAGGTATCAGATGTGATTCTGCCTAGATTCACCTGCTGCTTCCTGTCTGTTAGGAAGCTTATGATCCACTTACAAGTGTGTTCAGGTACCACTAGTTGGTTTAATTTACTTAGAAGAATGTCTGGAATGATGGTATTGAATGCTGAACTGAAGTCTACAAAGCGGACCCTTGCGTAGGTATTTGGAGATTCAAGGTGTTAGGATGTAATGCAGAGCCATATTAACAGCATCATCTGTCAATCTATTTGCTCAGTATGCAAACTGCGTGGGATCTAACAGCGGATCCATGATGATTTTCAGGTGAGACAGCACAAGCCTTTCAAAGATTTTCATAACTACAGATGTTAGAGCAACATGTCTATAGTCATTCAGTTCCTTGATGGAGGGCTTCTTTGGCACTGGGATGATAGTACAGCTTGCGAAGCAGGAAGGAACATAATACATAGCACAATAGTGATCTATTGAAGATTCGGGTGAAGATGGGGGCCAATTGGTCAGCACAGACTTTTAAGCAAGAAGGAGTTACACTAATTTTCATTAAGTTATGATTTTCTGTCTGGCCCTGGTGCTTTTCCTGGCTTTTGTCTGTGAAATAGATCTTGCACTTCTTTTTCTGTGATCACCAGAGGTTGTGCACCCAATGGATTGGGGCCAGTTGTAGGAGGCTTGGCTGTTGTTGGTGTGTTTGAGATGAGGGTTGTGGAGATATGTGGCTGTAGTTTCCTTTCAAGCCTTCAGTAAAACAAATTCAGGTCATCTGCTAGTTGTTGATTTCCTTCTTCCTGCCTGGAGGTTTAATGTAGCCAGTGATGTTTTCCACATGTCTGCTGGTTCATTTGTTGAGAACTGATTCCTTAACTTTTCAGAGTAGCTTCTTTTTGCTGTTCTGATCTCTCTTGTTAATATGTTTCTGGCCTGATTGTATAGCATTCTGTCACCTTTTCTGTGTGTAGGGTCCGTGTGGAGGCTCTGAAAGTTGAAAAATGGGCCGAACTGGAAGTCTAGAAACAGGCCTGTTTCTGGCTTCTAAAGGCCCTCTGGAGCCCAGGGGGAGCTGGTTTTGCCCTCCCAGAGGCCCGAGGAAAGCCCCCAGAGGCCCAAGGAAAGCCCCCAGATCCTGGGAAAGGTCAACCCCCCTGGAAGTTCTGGTAGGCCATGCCCACCATGGCCACGCTCACCCAGCAACTGGGCAGTGAACCGTTGCTGATATTTTTGAATCCCACCCCTGCTCTACACTAATTTTCATTAAATTATAATTTTCCGTTCTATCTTACAACAGAATGCATTGTTTGAAGTTTTTCATTCCTAATTTGTAGCAATCCACTGTGTGATAATTTTGTATTTACTTGAATATTAGCTTACTCCAATCATAGTTTCTGAGATTAGATAAGAGGTAAATGTTTCTGCCTCATTAGATAGGGAGAAGTGGTAGAATAAGCAAGTTACCTATAATTGACATTTTCTCATGTAAGCAAACCATAGTAATATCTACAGTTATGATCTATTCAGATTAGCAGCATAGATAATATAGTACACCTGCACTATGCAAAACTAACTTTATCTAGCTATTTAAACTTCTAGCATACATTTCATCATATTCAAGAAATTCTGCTCAGAATACATACAGTGTGCGTAATTATTAGGCAAGTTATATTTTTGAGGATTAATTTCATCACTGAACAACTACTGTGCTCTTGATCAATCCAAAATATTAATAAATCTCAAAACTGAATATTTAAGAGAGTAAAAGTGAAGTTTTGGCTTTCTTAGGAGAATATCTATGCGTATACAATTATTGGACAACTATTAGTGTGAAGAATTATTATGCAACTAAATGAAAATTTGCCCATCTCACTCATTTATTTGCATCTGCTAAAGTGAGAATAATAAACAAACAACTTAAAATGTACAAATAAACATTTCTGTCATTTTTTTTAAAAAGTGACCAATATAGCCACCCTTCTTTTCAATAACAGTCATAAGCCTTCCATTCATGAAGTCTGTCAGTTTCTTGATCTGTTGACAATCAACTCTTTGTGCTGTAGCAACCACAACCTCCAAGACACTTTTCAGAGAGGTGTACTGTTTTCTTTCCACTGTAAATCTCCCATTTAAGAAGGGTCTACAAGTTCTTAAAAGAATTTAAGTCGGGGGAGGAAGGGGCCATGTCATTATTATTTCATCTTTAAGGTTTTTACTAGTTAGTATACAGTGGACTATTTCGATGCATGTGTTGGAGCACTGCCCTGCTTAAAAATTATGGTCTTCTTGAAAGATGAAGACTTTTTCCTGTACAACTGCTTGAAGAAAGTGTCTTCTAAAAACTGGTAGTAGGTTTGGGAATTGATTTTGAGTCCATCTTCAACCCAGAAAGGTCCAACTAGCTCATCTTTAATAATACCATTATCCCACCTCCACTTTTCTTGAGTCCGAGTCAAAGTTGAGCTCTGTGCCTATTACTGATCAAGCCATGTTCCCATTTATTTGGTCTGTCAAGAGTCACTCTCATCTGTCCATAAAACCTTTGAAAAATATGTCTTCATATATTTCTTGGCCCAGTCTTGCCATTTCAACTTATGTGTCTTGTTCAATGATGGTTGGGTTTCAGCCTTCCTTACTTTGTCTGAGCACTTGTCTGAGCACACCTTGTACTTCTGGGCACTCCAGGTAGGTTGCAGTTCTGGAATATGAGAGCACTGGAGGATAATCGGTTCCTGTAGCTTCACATTTGATTCTTCTCAAATCTTTGGCAGTTAATGTGCATCTTTTTTTCTCAACACATTTCTTGTGGCCTGTTGATTATTTGCAACAAAAAATTTGATGGTTCTGTGATCACGCCCCTTAGCAATCTTCAGAACTTAGCAATTTCAAGAGTGTTGAAAGATTATTTACTATTTTTGACTTTTTAGAATCAGTTAAATCTTTTTTTTTTATTTACTTTGCCTGAGGAAAAGAAACTGCCTAATAATTATGCACAGCTTGATATAGGGTGCTGATCTCCTTAGACCAGTTCCGCCCTCATTACACAAATTCACCTCACTGATATGCTTAAATCCACTAAGCATTCCAGTTTATACAGCTTGGAGGTGGAAATATGCATTAAAATGACGATATGGTCAAAATACTAACTTGCCTTATAAGTGTTCTGCAAATAATTGTGCCATTAGTTTTGAAATACCCTTTATGAGAACAATTAATTTTTAAAACAAATCCTAAATAGTAACAGCAAGAGTTTCAAGAATATGTTTAGGAGGGAAACTAACAATATATGAAGAGGAATATAAGGGGGGGGGAGAGAGAAGAGAGAGAGAGGGGGGGAGGGAGGAGAGAGAGAGAAAGAGAGAGAGAGAGAGAGAGAGAGAGAGAGAGAGAGAGAGAGAGAGAGAGAGAGCATCCACAATTTTGCTATCTTTGCTAGATGTATTAATCAAGGTTGAGGTCAAACTTATAGGCCAGAGATAATATCCCTCAGAGAGTCTGAAGACAAAAAAGCTAAATCTGATTCACAGCATAATTTCAGGAGAAAACAAATATTACTGTAATATAGGTAGCCGTTGTTTTGCAATGAAATTGGGACCAGCAGCTTTATTGCTAAATGATACTGTCACTAAGCAGAAAATTATATAACTGCATCTGTTTTATAATATTTACAATATTATTTCAGCTTTTCTTTTTTCCTACCCTTCCAGTCATTTTAGGGCTCAACTTGGGGTTAGGATAATTAACAAGAAGAGAATTAATGTCTGTATTTATATTCATTGGACAGGAAGGGAGTACAAGAGGGTAAGCAGGCATAAAATGGAGAACACACTGAAAGAAATGTGTTAGCACTGACTGCATATTATGCTCTTCGCTCCAAGCAGTTTAAGAACTGAAAATATATTGAAACTATAACACTCATTAAAATCTTGTCAATTACAAGCAGTAATGGGAGTCAGCTAAGGTAACAGAGCTGAGTAAACTTGTGTAAACTTGTGGTTAGTACCAGCTGGGAAATTCCAGGAAGAAAGGCAGCTCAATAATAGTTGCTTGTTTAACTAATGTAAAAAATGTTTTTTTTAAAAAAGGAGGTCTATGTGTGTCAGGCACAGGATAAGACATGCTAACTTTTGATGATGAGAGAGGAGGGGGAGGGGGAGGGAGGGAGGGGGAGGGAGAGAGAGAGAGACAAAGAGGGAGAGAGAGAGATGTTGCCAACGTCATAAATATGGGCATTAGTTACGCATTAGTTACAGTTACTTTTTCAGTACTGTTGTAATTTCAAATGATTGCTACCCAAAGTAATCGTTCAGTGAGGTCCTAGCTTGACAAGAGAGAGAGAAATGCTGACAAGACACATACACTCTTCATGAGTCAAAGACTTTTGGATAAAGTCAAACCATTTAGGAGAAGCTATATTTTATATTATATTGTGAATTTTCCTTTCCAGATTCAAAAATAGGTACTTCATACTGCAAATGACATTCATGTTACTTGTAACATAAATTATACACTGTACAATTTAAATACTTAAGATTATTCTCTTATCAATAATCTTTACATTTAATAATGTAAACAGAACATTATAGTAATAAACTTTTTAAAAACCAATGTTTTTCAACTCACTTGCTGCAGAGGTTCATCAATTATATAGGCACCAGTTAACCTCCTATCAATCTTAATAGGTTTGCTTTCCTCTTTCATTTCTTCTATGCACTTTGGGAAAGAATACACAAAATTAATGTCAGTTTAGCTTGCAATTTTAGTTCACATAAATACAAATTTTGAACAAAGTCTATGCTTTACAATATAACCGCAAAGTAGTATTTTCAAATTAGAGGTGGGATATAAACAAACAAATAATTTTTCTTTCTTTCATTGTTATTATTTCTTCAGTGGTCTTACCAGATTTTAATCAAGGTATGATTAAAAACAAACAAACACATACCTGCACTGTTATTATTTCCTCATGAACACTCCCATGCTTAAATTGTTATAAAAAGAATAACATATTGGACTAGGATCAAGCAAGCCTAAATTCAAGTCACTTCATTACCATCATATTTAAATCAACCTTATTTGCATGAATGGCATGAGGGGGGGGAAAAACCACATATAGTTTATCTGACTCTTTTTGTTAGACAGATACTATTCTTCTAGAAATAACTGCACAATTTTCAAATGATCACAATATATCACAATATACTTAATGTATACAATATATCTAGATTCGTGTAATATATATATGGATTCCAAGATCACAAAAATACACACATTTTAAAAACTTCTGAACTTTTCATTAGGCTAAATTTCTACAATCAGATGGATGAAAGAGAGAACATAAGTACAGTAAAAATTATTCTAAAACAAAATTTTACAGATTTCTAATATACAGCATTAGTTAATCTTCAACTATCAACAATAACCGGCAGTGGAATTTCTATTACTAAGCAAAGCAGTCATAAAGTACAATGATACATGACTGCATAGCTTAGCGACGGTAACCTCAAAGTCCTATTGCTATTTTTAAGCTAGATAGCATGTTGTTAAGTGTGACTTCTGCTGACTTCCAACAAACAAAGGAAATATATAAAAAGGGATCAATTTTACGTTTAAAAAAAATATCGTAAAAATCATGGGTTTTACCCCAATTGCAAAAGGTTATTTCTTATTGTTCTGTGATACAAAGAGATTCACCTTGAGACAGTCAGGAAGAAAAAGTGAGTAACATCAATGCAAAAAGAACTTGGCATTGAAGTTTCATCATCCTGTCAGTAGGTATAAGGCTAGTAGTACAATATATGTATGACTGTGGTAGAATTATCTAATATAACCCAAATGCTTTGGATATGGATATAGTATGCCTTCCAAACAATAAAATGCTCAGGTTCATGAAACTACATGCCTTGGTCTGCCACTTATGATCAGAGGGTTCAGAGGTATGCTCTCCATCTTGTCATATATGTGACAGGGATGAGAACATGCACCAGAGAGTGACATACAAAGATAATTTCTTTGGTAAGATTCTTTTACATCAGTCATCAGTCTTCCTTGATACAGGGCAGAATCAGGAACTTAGAGAAACAGAATCAAACCCAGAAAAGTGTCCCATGCTTATAGTGAGCAAAACAAGAGATCAAATGGACAATTGGCAATTATAAAAATGTATGATTCAGAAATTACAGCATTAAAATTGTGGAAAAAAATTCTTTTTAGAGTTTTAAGTGGCAAATTAAAAAAAAAGACCCTTTGAACCAAAAGCTTAACTGCACTTCAATCACAAATCTTGAAAATCCATTAACAGTCTAATTTACACTTTAGGTAAATGTAACTTTTCCCAAAGTCAATTGTTGTTTCAATTTTGTTGTGCAACCCAACTTCTCCCTTTACAATACAGTGGGTCCTGGACTTACAACAGTTCATTTTGTAACCTTTCAAAGTTACAAAGACATTGAAAAAAATGACATGATGGTTTTTCACGCTTATGACCATTATAGCATCCCTAGTCATTGATTAAAATTCAGACATTTGACAACTGACTCATATTTATGATGGTTGAATTGTCCTGGTGTTATGCGATCACCAAGTCAATGGGAAATACAGATTCACCTAACAACAGTGTTACTAACTTAAAAACTACGATTCACTCAATAACTGTGAGAAGAAAATTCATAAACTGAGGGCAAATTTCACTTAACAATTGTCTAATTTAACAACAGAAAATTTGGGCTCAATTGTGATCTTAAGTTGAGGACTACCTATATTCACTTTAAAAGAGAAATGCATTGATTGCCAGATGACGTTAAATATTGTGCAAAAAGTTGTTTAAAAACATTTTGCTTACTCATAAAAACTGGGGGGTAAATGGTATATAATAAAGCTTTTATTTCTTGTTGCTTACCTTATTAATGCCAAATGAGGTGGGAGGAAGAAAGGAGTGTTCACACTGTTCAAGGTACTTCTCTGAATTAGTTTTTCCAAACAGAAGTGTTACCACAAAGCCCCTCAAAAATAAATTATATAACAAACTTTGAGATAATGTAGTGACTAACATTCACAATATAGAACAACTACTTATATATGCACATTTCTAAGGCTATTCCTACAATTTAAAAAACACAGTCGGTAGAATTAAGTTCTCCTTAATGCCATTAAAATTGTTCCTCTAGAGAGAATTGAAAATTATTATAATTTCATAGTATTGTTCACAGCAAATTTTAAAATGGAAATACACAATTGAGTAACTATTCAGAAAACTGAAAATAGTTTCAATGAGTACATAGAAGTAATATTTGAAGGTAACAAATATTTATATATTTTAACTCAAGATGCTTGTGTTCCTTACAAAAGATTGTTAAAAGGGCTGGGAAAAACTTCTAAAAAATTTAAAAATAAGCTTGTTTTGGTAAATATAAATACATCAGACTCTTTGGGAAATGTAAGTTACATATTTCTGTTATATTTTCAACCTCTTTGTCCTTGATTCCAAATTTAAGTTTAGCATACAGAGAGATGATAATTTATATAATATCTTGTTACTTGATCTACAATGTACATTATATATAAAATGTATACAATAAATTATATACATTATATAAAACACAGTATAGGACAAGGCTCATATTATATCATAGATATAGACAAGTTGGCCTTTACACAGCATCATCTGGTGTTCCATACCCTTCATACAGACTCTCAAGCCCTACGTATCTCATTGCTTGACTACTGTAACATACTTTATATAAGGCAAACCTGAAGATCACAAGCTTCAGCTCAGACAGAAAGAAAGGATGCCCCTGTAACCATCATAGCTTCATAAGATGCACTGGTTAACCACTTGGTTCAGGTGCAATTCAAGATGTTGGTCATTATAATCTCATACGATCCTATATTTTCAGATTTATTCTTAATTTTTGTCTACTATTGCATTTTTTATTTTCAGTGTTTTTATTTGTAATTTTTCAGAGTTGTTGGGAGTTAGGTGACATGTCAATTTAATGTAATAGAATAATAATGGCACTAATAGAGATAATGAAAACAATAATAATTATAGAGTATCATTTTTAATTTTAATATTTCTTCACCCTGAACAACAAATCAAATTATATACTTACCCACCCACAGAACAGAGGATATAAAATGCAAAGTAAAATATAGCAAATGGTCCAAATGTAATTAGAAAAAGCAGAACAACAAGGCTTCCCCATCCCCATCTGGAAAGATTGGTCTGGAATAAAATGAGAGAAAAAACTGGGTTTATGTTTACATCTAAGTATAAACTCTTCCCTAATATTTTCTAATTTGACATAACTCTTATGGAACATCAAATAAACTCTTTATACTAGAATTTATTTAATAAAAACTTATTGTCAGGATCTTTTTCTTTTTTGTCTTTCATTGAAGATAATTAGAAGTAAAAATTAAGTAGACTTTCACAGATATAAAAGTAATGCAGTAGGAAAAATACTGCCAAAATAATAAATATCAAAGCTGAATATTTTTTCCTTTGAAATTTAGGATTTTTCCAAAGCTTGTTAATTTTTTTCACCAAATAAAGTTCTCACAAACTTTATTACAAATGTTCCAATCAAAGATGAATTTCACTTTTCCTGTATATAAGTCAATGCAGTCACATAGATTGCTTGCTAACCACTTGATCAGGAACAGTTAAAAGTTATGAAGCACAGAGAAAAGAGATTGTAGGCATCATAACATCTTCAAGATCATGTGATTGCAATTTGCATGTTTGGCAACTGTGATCAGTCACACAATGACCATTTCTAACCTTCACAGTCAACTTTTAATAAGCTAAATCAATGGATCAATGGAGAAAACATCAGGAAGTCACAAACTCGTAGTCATGTGACATCCCACTTAATAACTAAGGCTGATTTGTCTCAAAACTGCAGCTGGAGCTGATGATATAAATCAATGCAGTCACATAGTTTTCACGTCATAAGTGAATTGGGATCAGTTAAGTGAAGATCACTTGTATTTGGTGGTTAATACTGAGCTGACAATCTACTTCTTATAATGCAACAATGATGGATTAATATACAATAAATTAATATTCCTTATAAAATAGAGAAAACAAAACAAAGAATAAGCTTTTTTTTTATTCTTTAAAGAAATTGGGGAAAAATGAAAAATGACTTTTGACCAAAGGGACTAACATCACATTGCCACCAAACATATTAATATATAACAATTTGCTTGCAGTCCTTCCAGCAAAATGTAGGGTTTACGTCACATTTTTAGAATCTCAAAAAAGGATTGTTTTGTTGAATCCAAAAAGTTTATATTCCTAATAAGAATCATTTGTTTTTGGCAATTGGCAATAAGATATATGCTATTTTTTAAAGTTTAGATAGTTTAAAAATACTATTTTGAAACTAAGTAAGAATGTAACCAACCCTTCTCAAAAGTACATTCAACAAAATACAATTTTCTTCAATAATTAAAATATTAATGTGATGAACTTCTATTCTTCTTTATACTAAATAAATTTAACATTATTCTTAAAACTTTTAAGTATTATTTATTATTAAATAATATATGGTGTATGCCCAGGCACATTTTCTAACTGCAGGTTAGTAGCAGAAGTGCACAATCAGTTTAGAAAGTAGAGGTGAGATGAAAAGCACGTAGCAAACAAGTAGGCCTTGTAGAGGCCTATATAATATTTCACAACAGGTGAAAAGGGAAAGACAGTGAAAGAAGGCATGTATTAGGTATCAGTCTAAATGCAATTTGGAAACTAGACAACATTACACTGACATGAAGCCTAACCATTAAATTTCCACAACAGCCATTAATTATTTATTTGCTTATTCAATTTATGCTGCCCATTTAAAATCAATGATTCTGGGTAGCTAACAATCATAAAAACAATTAAAATGGATAAAACACAATACAAGAAAGATATTAAATACAAATAGTATTTAAGAAATATTATAATCTGTCAGTATCAACAAAACTAGGAAATGTGGCTCTTCACACCCTAAGGTTCTCAGGACTGGGTGAATGGCTAACAAACAGAGCCATCCTAATTGGAGAAGGATGTTTCAGAGGTAGGCACGATGGCAGAAAAGGCATGTCTCCTGATCCCCATCAGCCAACATTCCTTGCCTCATCCTAATAGTTAGTAAGTTATAGTTTATGAAATAAGGCCCTAGTCAAAACATATATAAATTAAAAAAATACACTGCACTTCATCTAATTTAAAAAGAAAACAACAGACCAAAAACATGCCTGTACAAAAACTTCTATTTGATATAGCAATGTTATAAAAGTTGGGTCAATATTGGAGGCTTTTAATTCTTTAGTATGTAGGGCACAAGTGCCATATGAGAACTGTAAGTAGTTTTAATAGGAGGGAAATTAACTCTGATCTCCAGAACTGATAAGTACAGTATTTTATATCTATTGAAAGTTTGAAATAATACATGAATACTCTTAGCAAGAGATACTATTTTTTTCACCCAACAGTACTATTGGGGAAAAGCATCAAGTATGCCAATTCAATGTAATTAATAAATGATACAGTGATGAGAAGAGGCGTTGGCTTTCCTGATAGGCCCTTTAAGGCTCAGCATGTCGATGGAACACCCACACTCGAGTTGACACATGCCTTTCTGGCCAGAGACTGAGTCCTCAATCTTTTGCCACACCTCTCCATAACCATCATTGTCCCATTTTTCGACGGTGTAGCCATCTGATGGACTTTTTGGTTGGCTCTGTATCTCCTGGACGGTCACCAGGGTGGGAGTGGATTCTCCATCGACATGCTAAGAAAGGGCATATCAGGTAAGCCAACGCCCCTTCTCCAGCACATTGATTGGAAAATCCACACTCGGGACATACTAAAGCCAACTGTTCCTATGGGCGGGGAGTGGTTTGGTATAGGTATGCGCCCATTGGAGCATCCTTCTGCCATAGGCCATTTCAGTAGAAGTGAAGGTGTCCGATTTGTAGTGCCTTACGAAGTGAGATGGGAAAGGCCATGTCGCTGCCCTATTGATGTCCTCAATAGAGGCCTGCGTTGCCCACATGGCTGTAGTAGTTGCGCTTCTTGTGGAATGAGCGGTTATTCGTCTGGGTACTGGGAGAGCCTGCGTCTCGTAGGCCTTGGCGATATACGCCCTTATTCAATGGCCTATGGTCGATGTGACCTTGGTACCCATTGAAGATGTTAGAATGACACAAACAGGGATTCTGTTCTACAATGAGAAGATGTTCTTTTAATATGTCTGCGGAGCGCCCTCCTCACATGCAAGGTGTGTCACCTCTGTACCAGCACATGAGATGATCCTGGGCAGAAGTTCGGTAGCACTATTTCCTGGGCCCTAGAGAACCAGAAGTTTATCTTGGGGACGAAGGAGGGGTCCAATTATAGAACCACCCTGTCTGTGTGGAAAATACAAAGATCCTCTCTGAGTGAGAGGGCTGCCAGTTCCGATATTTGCCTGGCTGAGGGGATGGCCACTAAAAAGGGGACTGAAAGTCAGGTATCACAGCTTCATAGTCCGAAGTGGCTCGAAGGATGCTGAGGTGAGAGCCTGTAGTACCTTGGACAGGTCCCAGGTTGGGTACCTGTGTGCCACAGGCTGTTTTAAGTTAACTGCACCTCTGATGAATGTATGTACCACTGGATAATGGGCAAGGGATTCCAAATTCCCATAGGTTAGCACTATGGACAAGGCTGCCACTTGTCTGCGAAGAATGCTAGGGGATAACCCCTTGTCAAGACCTTCCGGTAAAAAAATCCAGGATCTGTGGAATAGATACTGCAATGAGGTCTATGTCCTTCCTGGCACACCATTTGCAAAGCGCCTTCCAGGTAGTCATAAATTCTGGAAGGTCTCCTGGAAGCCTGGATTGTCTGTATCACCTTCCTTGAGAAGTTGTCCTTCCTCAGGATTCTCCTCTTAAGTGCCAGATGGTCAGTTGGAGCTAGTGAGAGGGCCAAGACTCTCTGGCTGAGGGAGATCCTGTCCTGAGGAATCCTCCAAGGACGAGATACAGATAGGCTGACCAGGTCTGCGTACCATGGTTGTCTGGGCCAATAGGAGCGAGAAGCAGAATTTCCGCTTTTTCCAATGGAAGTTTCCTGATCACCCCCGGAATGAGGGGAAGAGGAGCAAAAGCATATAATAGGCCCTTGGGTCAAGGGCTGCGGAGGGCGTTGACCTCCTCTGCTCTTGTCACAAATCTTGTGAAAAAGCTGGGCAGTTGCGAGTTTGTCAGGATGGCAAACAAGTCCAGGACCAGGTGGCTGAATCTCTTGGATAGTTCCCTGAAGAGGTCCAGGTGCAGCCACCACTCGGAATGGTCCACCGTGATCCTGCTGAGATAGTCTGCCTGTGCTTTTGTCGCACCCGAGATGTGCTCCGCTTTGATGGAAAGCAGGTGAACCTCTGCCCAGAGACCCAATTGGTCCGCCTCACACATGAGGGACCTGGAGTGGGTTCCCCCTTGGCGGTTGATGTGCACCTTGGCCATCAGGATTAGTATATGTTGTCCCAATACAGAGTTCTGAAAGTGCCGTAGTGAAAGTGACTACTCGGAGCTCTAGCCAGTTTATGTTGTTTTTCAAGTCTGCTTGAGACCATTGTCCTTGTGCCAACTAGGACTGGAGATGGGCTGTCCAGCCAAAGAGGCTGGCATCCAAGATCAAGGTCAGGCGGCTGGGCTCCTTGAACAGGGTTCCCTTGGTTATTGCTGGGGAAACTCATCATCTGAGGGACCTGAGTGAATGAATATAACTTTATTATGGTCTTAGACCAGCAATAGACATCACTATTTACAATATACATAAAAAAACTGACACATTATAATACATTAATAGTGGACAAAAACATCTGTTAAGAAAATACATATTCTCAAACAGTTTAGGGGCACTCCCTGATTTATATGAGTGGAGAGCCAATAAGTATGTGTGTAAATATCATTTTCCAAAGTTTGTTTTATCTCCAAAAATTGTCACAAATTGACAGCTATAATTCTGTAACCAATTTTTTTCTAGTAGACATTGCAGCAACACAGAATTTTGCCACTGCACGCGTAATAGCTGGGTTTGAATCCTGGAGGAGAAAGTCTACATAAAAATTGTCTGCCCTCCCTGGCAATCTCTCTAGTAAGGGGAGAATATACAATGACCTATGTACTCTGTATAATTCACAGTACAATAAAACATGTGAGATATCTTCAACTTCTCCTTTATACACA